CGGCGTGAGATTTAAGCCACCGGGTCCGAGACGCGAACCGCGGTCGACTACGTGGGAGTCCAGCGACATAGCCATTACGCTAACTGCTGGTTCCCCACCCAGCATGAGTTTTAAGATCAGACATCCATCATGATTAAAAAAGTATTCCCTGAAAAGCACACTGTAAACAGCCATGATCACATTCCCTAGAGCACCATTGGGAAGGACTCGAACTGTGGGTCTGGGACTCGAACTGTGGTTGACCATGTGGGAGTCCAGTGATATAACCACTATGCCATTTGCTGGGTTCCAGTTCCCTTTAATTATTTATTTTTTTTACAATGTCTGTTTCTTTGCTGAAATTTTCTGTATTCATTTGCCCCAGGAGGATTTTTAATTGTTGAAGCAGTTTTAGGTTAGCTGCTTAACTTCATAAGGTGTTTATGGCTGAATTGTGTCCCCCACAAAATTCATATGCATGTACTAGAATTTGTACAGACCCTACAAGTTAAAGGCTCAGCCCCACAAGATTGCCCCTGCTCCAGATATGATAGCCACAAGTAGGGTGCATATGGTACTGTTAACAGATGGAAGAATGTCGAGCTGCATTGTGAAGTCCTTGGTTCTTTGGGTCCAGATCACTAAAATTAGAGATCTGTCCCTAGGAGCAAAATGAAACTGCAACCACGAATGAAGTAGGTAGAAAAGAAAATTTTAATAGGAAAGAAAGGAAAGTACACCCAAAAGGCTCTTGGGTGGGCAGATTGCCAGGTGGCAACTGCGCTTGATACTGGTTGTTACTTTTATTACTAGAGGTGATCATGAATATTTATTGGTGGGAGGTCTGTCATACTACCTATGTCCTTCTTTGAATTAGAATCCACGCGTTTTCTCCTGCGCTAGTGCACTTCTCTCACAGGTAAGGAATGAGGAATTTGATTACCTTATTACTCATGCCCAGTGTGAGCCAGGTTGTTTAATTAGACTGCCTAATTAATTCATCGTCCTAGTGGGAATTAGGGCGTTGACCAAAACACTTACTTGGGGATTAGGGTGTCCACCAAAATGCTTGCTTGGGACTTTTTGATAAGAGAAAAATCTATGACTCATTCCTGTATGCTCCCCTCAGGCCCCAAGGAAGGAAGATGGCAAATTGCCTCACCTTACTTGTGCCCGGGGCTAGGTGAGCCTTTCCCTTTTCTCTTAGGGCTGCCCGCTCATGACTAACTGCCTACCACAGTACCTACATTTCTGCCTAGTTGACTACATGTTTG